AATAATATGGGGAGTTATGTGAACATGAAGGATATGCTTATATATGAGTTGGTAAAAGGCTGTTAAACGAGCTGCTAAGTATTGGCAGAAAATTTCATTAAAATTAATATAATAATAGTTTATAATTCGATTTAAATAAATATTATAATTGTATAGAATATTAATTAAAAGTCTATATAATATATACAATTTTTGGATTTAGGCATCTCTAGGACTCAGGCTTTATTTTTCTTTAGTTAAAAGTACTATTTATATGGATCTTTCGGCTATTCTCGAAAATTGTCTCAGTACTTTGCTTTTATTAAAAGAACAACTTAAATTCAACTTATATGAATAGATACTTATATAACTTAATCTACGGTGACGTCTAGCATTATTTAACATACAAAACCCAACATTCGTTCAAAGATTAGATAATAAAAGTCCCAAGATCTAAACTTAATATAATGTAGACATAATTATATTATTCCATACATTCGCAAGTCGCTTAACTGCGCCTTAAAATTTATGATAAGATGAAAGTTGCTTATTTAATCTAGATTATTTTTACATACTAGCTGCATGTCGGCATTTAATAGAACAATAATTAAATGAATAAATACTTAAGAACTCAAACTGAACCTTGACGTCAATCTCGAAGTATTAAAGCAGCCCTCTCTTATGTCAGCACAGCTAAGCGACCGCAAGTCAGAGTAACTGACAGAGCAACTTTTGCTCTTGCTCTTGTTATTGTTGTTATTGTTGTTGTTGCTGTAGTTGGTGCAGTTGTTGCTGGCATTGCTCTATTTTACAGCCGGTCTTTGGTTAGGGGTCTGGGACTGCCAATCATTGCCTGACTGGGCCTGACGTCTGTTGCTCATCTTTGGACTCCATTCACTCAAACATCAGCTGAAGAGGCTTCTCTCACTAATTCCCTGCTGCAGTAGCACCCCCCCCCCCCCCCCTCCCCTCCTCGCACCAGTCAAACTCGGCCACTTGTTGGCACTGCAAGCTAAGAACCCAGCTGCAGACCCCGGGCCAATGCTTATTAAGAGGGCTTTTCAACTTGAATGGTTTCCTGGGCCACTTTAATACAATCCACATATATACATGAATATGTATGTATGTACATATATATGTGGGCAAGTCGAACTTTTGCCCTTTGGTCCCGCTCCTAGATTTGTTGTCTGTATTTTAAAATAGCATTTATGAGCTTAGACGGCTTAAGAAATTTTATTGGTTATTAGTTTGTTGCCAGAATTTATGTCTCTTGGCTGGTTTTATGTGGCGCTCACAAAACTTTGGCCATTGCCCGGTTGAGACTTGAGAAATCAAAGCATCTAATGAGCTTAGCACGTGTTGGTCATCCATTTTAGTGCCCCCCTCTCCCCCGCAGTTTGTGTCCTAGCCAGTTATCTAGTGTATACTAGCTTCGTATCTGTGATGTTGTTGTTGTCGTTGTGGTGAGACTTTAATCTTTAATTGCTTTTTGGGTTCCGTGTGTATTTGCCTTGGTGTTTACGGGCATGCAAGAATTTCTGTGTTGGTTTTTGTATTTATAATGCCAATGCAGGAGACGATCCAATTTCAAATAATGCTTTAACTGAAAGTGGAGCACAAGTACGATGGAATCTAGATTGAACTCATTTCTAATTGGAAATACACCCTATTGAAAATCACAAAAATATTTTTGTTTTAGTTTTATTAATCCCTTCCTCCCAGTATCATTTGGCCAGAATTTTCAAACTATCAATGTCATGTTTTCTATTTTGATTTTATATTTTAAAGCTTAAAATTGTTGCACACTCTTGCTGCCTGCTCGCTCTCGAAATTAATTTTGTGCAATGCCAAAACAATAAAAACAACTTTTGCATACCACGTCTGTCAGTTGTATATCCGCAACATACACCAAAAAATGTACGCAAAACTTTTGCGAGCTTACAACGATTTCCATTAGCAAATGCAAGCGAACTGACCACAAAAAAGCTGTTCACGAGTATTTTTATGTTTATTTATTTTGTATTTTGTTTAGTATGTGCTTTTTGGCTCGCTCTACTAATTTTCGTCTAATAATTTGCACTTAACTGTTGGCTGAACTTTGGGCCCGAGCTTCAGTTACTTTCATAGAAAATTCCCTTTCATAAACAAATTTTCAACTTGGGCCGCAAATTGAGAACGCAAACTGGCCATGCGCCTGACGACGAAAGTTTTTGCAAAAATCCACAACGAATCCACAAACAGCAGGGGAATAGATATATGTTGCTGGGCAGGATTGTGGGGCGGGGCTGGCTTAAATTACGTGCGCTGCACAATAGTTCAATAACGGACACGGCACGGCATGGCACGGCATGGCAAAAACCCACAGACAGGCATCCAACAGATACGCGCCGGCATGTTGAAATATTGCAAAAATACTGAGATACATCGTTCGAGCTGTGGAGAAAACCAAGTTAAGGCCAACACACACAAAAAGACAGCAGCTACGGATATAATAATAACAACAACAATAGCTAGACTTTTTTATTTACATTGGCCAGCATACAGCAGACACAACTACTACTAAAGTACAAATACTGGAGCAGTATGGCAGGAAAAGCACACACTGAAAATATTTCCCTTAGCGCTTACGGCTTTTTTGGCCGGACACCACACATAAGTTATTATTTGCCCTGGCAATAAGTAAAAGGTAGATCTGATGCGCGGGGAATGCGGTGCAGTTCCTGCCAGTGTCCAGGATGTACAGCTCCAGTTTGCCAGTCAATTGTGGCGCGGTCCCTCGCCAAGTTGTTGTCGTTGTTGTCGTGGCTGTCTTGGCTGTCTTGACTGTCTCTCTGACTCTGTATCTGTCGCTGAGTCTCTGTTTCTGTCGCGCCCGCCTTTCAATACAACTTTCATGGGCCACCGCTTGCAGTTGCCGCCGGTTGTTCGATAAGTTTCGGAAGTGCACTGATTTAGACGAACGCAAAGCTTGTTTTATGGCCTAGGGGGCTGAGCGTCGAACTAATAAGCGTGAAGTTGCCGGTTCAAATCAAGCAGAAACAGAAGACTACGAAGTATTTAAAATTAAAGGAAATCGTATATTAAAATATTTTCTCCATCCAGAGTTTCTTCTTTTGGAGCACATCTCGCATTGGCCTTACATTGTTTTTTGCTATTTGGAGCTGGCTTTTGTTTGGCACTCCTCTGCTGGTAAATAATGGTTAGTTTTTGATTTCAAACAATAATTCAATGGCTATAGCGGAGCAGAGCCAACTGTGTAGAAAAGTATCTGCGAGTTGGTCGCATCCATTGCGGGGCCGGCAGTCAATTTGGTGGCGCTTTGCTGACCATTTTTGGGTGGCCACCAGTTCCAAACGATGCGACGCCTCCTCTGGAGCCGCACGCGTTCCAACTGATGTTGTTCTTGTTGCTGTGGCTGCTGCTGCTTTTGGCCATAAAAAGTAAGACAAGTTCCAGAGCGACGCGTTGCCAGGCTGTCGCCTCTTGGCCGGGCCTGTCAGCTAAAGCTGTTAGATACAATTACAGTTAGCTGCCGACGATACAGACGAGACGTACTGTAACTACAGCTACGTAGTGTCGAGTTTGGCGGCACTTCTCAGTGCCGTTTGATGTCTAGTTGCCCCTCCGGCTTTCTTCTAAGTCATGTGCGGTCTCCATCTGCAATTTCTCTATGCCGCATGTGTGTTTGTGTGTCTGTGTGCATGTGTGTTTATTTCATCTGATATGAACGCCTGTAAGCCGAGACAAAGAGCCAGTCCAAGCCAGATTTTATTGTTTCAAATGATTCGCCTATCGTGCTCAGCCAGTATCTGTATCTGCATGTTATGCTTGTGCAACTGCAGATACGTTGAGTCAGCTGCCACCTGCCTATGGCATCGCACAATTTGATACAAATATAAATATACCTGAGCCGTGTGAATCATCAGATACGCTGTTTGGTAAATGCACATTAAACTGCGACAAGTGTTTTTGGTCTGTAGAAAATTGCATAATTGCCCCGCACCGTGGTCAGCCCATATAATCGCCCAATGATTCATCAGTGTGCACACACTTAAGAGTTTTTTTTTCGACTCTGATCTAACCTTAAAGATATGCAAAAAAGTGGGCAAAGTTGAAGGCAGTTCACACCACGGGACCAACGAGATGGTTGGGCTATTGATTGCATCAGTTTGTTTTGGAAGTTGCGGTCATTTTCAGATAGAAACTGTTTCTAATCATGACAAATTTTACGTTTTACGAAGCAAATTTCCAGATCTAGCCCCACCTAATGGGTTTATTATTTAAATTTATAATTCTATTGCATAAATATATGTGGCTCTTAAATTTTCCTTGACTTGACTTACAACTCTTCATAAATAAAATTTTGGCATGTCTAAGGGAAGCAAGAATAAAGTAGGATATATGTTTATAAATATAGATATATAGCTGGTGTAATACTTTTGTGTGTATGATTGTGTGTATGTATGAATGTATGTATGTATATTCATATATATAACAATCATAGACTAAGTTAACTTTACGTATTTATTAAGCTGAGCTGAAAATTATAAATATATTAAAAACTGCCTTCTATGCGATTCTCATGAATTCAAGTAAGGCAGGTTTTCATGCTTTTATTATAAGTGTTGTGAGTGGTAATCTATTTGACTTTGATGTTGTATTTGTATATTTATGTATGTATATGTATGTAAGCATGTATGTGTGTATGTATATATGTGTTCATGTATTTGTCTATGTATGTATGTAAGTATGCATGTTCTGTAATACCAAACATTGACTAAGTTTACTTCCCGCTGAAATTAAATTAAGATAACTTATTCTTTAATATTGCCCTACTATGCGATTCTCATGAATTCAAGTAAGGATTACAGGCTTTGAATATAAGTGGTTTCTCTGTTTAGTATCTGATCGATATATTTAATTTGTGTGTGTAGGTATGTAGGCGTGTGTATATTTATGTATATATTCTGTTCTCTCTCCTGGCCTCAATCTAACCGGTAATCTTCCTCTTTTTGTTTCAGTGAAAAAAGGACTGTCTCCCTTTAACTAGTAGATGACAAGCAATGCGTATGATTGTTAATTTTTGGGTAAGTATCTATTTACATATGTATTAATATATAAATACGAATATATGTAAAGGCAATTCAGACTTGGGCACAGGCTAGCACGGGCTTTAATAAATGACATTAATTTATCAAATATTGAATATTCACTTTAAAGTCAAGCAAGGCTATATTATGAATTCTTAATAGCACATGATTGGGAATTATATCACTTCCTTTACTCAAAGTACTGTTTTCTTGCGGCTTTTAAAGCCAAATGTGTAGCGTTTTTGCAAGAATCCAAACAAACAGAAACATAAACCTTAACCGGGCAGAAGAAAAACAAACATTATAAAAGTCAAAAGATGGCAGCGAAAGCCAATGGGAAATATGAGAGCAAAATTAATATCCTACAAGCAAAAAATTTTTTTTTCCATCTTTCCATCTTAAATAAAAATCAGACAAATTTTGTTCCCAAGGGATCTGAAATAATATTTATGCCATTTTGCTGTTGATACAAGAGGATGTGAATGTGCCTCAATTTCATTTAAAATGAAGATATTTACATGAGGACTGAAATGGAATCGCTGTTAATCGCCTTAAGGGCTGTAAATATTGTCAAAGGCAACAGTTCTTAACTTACGCCTGCACAAAATCAATTGATTTCTTATTTATAAAGTGAATGTGAATGCCACACGTTTCAGGTCTAGGCTGTATGGAAGGGATGGGGGGGGGGGGGGGGGGGTCTTCTAGCTAGAAAAGGAGCAATTCGACATAAGAGCTTTGGGAAGCCAAAAACCGGCACCTTCTAAGCACTAGACAAACAAGGCGAAGCACACAGATGAGCAGGGAGAAGCCTCGCAAAGAAGTAAACAAACAAGATCATAAATAAATTATTTACATTGGCCCAACGTCAGAGTCGGGCGGCGTTTGACTACGAAACTAGGCAGCCCCTCAAGTTGGGGAGGTGGTAAATATTTTTTTTTCGCTTATATTTTTTGCAAAATCAACAAAACTGAAATGACAAAAAGGCAGTCGGCCGGCAAAAGCTGACAATGCCATAAGACCAGGGCGTCTCGGGTCTACTACGTGGAACATTATCAAGGCAAGCAGAGGCATAATGGACGCGCATAATGGAGCGTCCAGGACTGGGCAGCAGCAGCAGCAGCAGCAGAGAAAGAAAAAAAAAACAGACTTAAATTGAACAACTAATAGTGGCAGCAAAAACAGCAAAATCCCAGCTAGGAGGCGATGTGTGTGGTCTGGCAGCGAAATTAAATGAGGCAAGAAAATGACCGGAGGAGCTCTAGGAGAATAGGAAAGGGCCACAGCTCGGCCGGAGTATGCCGAATAGGGCTGGCTCATTGTGATAATAAATAAATAAATAGCCGCAACGGTGGTTGCCTCGCATCGATTTGACTTACGGGCTTACGGGAATATGCAAAGGGAAGGGGGGAAACAAAAAAAATAAAGGGGAAATATGTACAAGCGCTATAAATACGTCAGTGGGCGTGGCTGGGCTTAAATGCTTAATGCGCTGGGCTTAAAGCTATCCCAGCCGAACATTAAAGCTAATGCAATCGCGATGATTTGCATTTATACGGATTAGAGAATAAATTGGCATAGGAAATGAACCATTTGTGAAACAATCGCTAATGAGGGACATTTCATACAAATTTATACACATTTTTTGTTTTTAGATATTTTTTAAAAAATGTTGTTCAGCCAGAACATTAATGTTCAAAAATATACTATATTTTTATTAATAAATACTTAACATAAATGATTATCACAAGCTGCAAATTGTAGACAAATGTGCGAACTTGTGAAACCTGTTGCTTTAACAAATCAATAACCATTTTTTTTTGTCTGAAAAAAACATTTGCTTATGGGAACATGCAAAATTGAGCATTAGTCTGAAAATATTCATTTATAATATTCATTTCAAGCAACTCGTTATCTGTTGTTTCCTCGAACACCGCTCAATGCGCATCAGCCCCTAATTAACCTTTAAATAATTTAAAAAAAAAATATAAAAAGTGTTTTTGTTTTGGGCGTCGTGCGATTATCAATTGAAACACGCTTCCCATACAAAGCTGTATATATAATCATTGACTATATATATTAGTAGTAATATATAAACGTATGCATTTCCATTAGATAATTACGCTAAACGTTATGCGCATTTATTTCACATTGATATTATTTAATTTAAATATAAAAAAATTTGGCTTTTCATGGCTTTTCTTCGATTTTGTGCGTGAGCGTGGCTGGCTGCTTATTAAATATGCAAATCGTTTTGTGTTGTAAATGCGTTATAAGTTAAATATGCAGCTTTCAAAAGACCGGACTAGTTAGCCAGCAACATTTTATAAAATTGACAACATTTTTGCATAATGCGCCAAAAAGGCTTTTCGAAGCAACCGACCGACCGACTGACTGACTGATTTTTTTTTGGCTTGTCAGCAAGATTAGATGGCCATAATGAATGAGAGCGACCCGGTGCTCTGACCTTAATGAGCTGCAGTCGCTTAGGACAACTTAAACAGCTCCGGACCAGCGGATGGTTCAACTTGAAAGCGTATCTAATCAAATTTAAATACTAGCTGCAGTTGGCAACAGACGTTAACAATTTCAGATTCGCCTCTGATGATGTCATTAAGTCACTAACTGCTACTCCCCCATTTGATATACATTGACCCAATTTGTTTATTTATTGAAATTGCATTTTATTTCAATAATAACAAGTGAGAAATAGAGCAGATGAGTGAAATATAGAGAATGTGGGCGTATTTATGTGTTTTTGTTTGCAATCCAATGCATTTTGCCTCAATTATTATTTAATTTTGCCTGCAATTTTGTGGAACAGGTCAATTTGTCACAGTATTTTGCACTGATTGGGGAATTGCTTGTCTGATATGGCTGTTTAGATCGTAGCCTTGCCAGTTTATCATATGGATGCGATTTGATATTCAATTCAAGTGGCCAAATGTCACGATGCCGACGCATTGAGGTTAGCCAGAAATGAGCACACAAAGAAAGTCGATTGCATTTTCAAGGCCAACTGAAAGTTATTCATGTATAAAGTCATTTATTCTGTATGCAAATTCAGACAGCATTTCTTTGAGAAGCGGGTCATTTAGTCTACAGTTTTTTGAAAATGTAATATATTGAAAGGATTTTCCAAAACGGTTTTTAAATGTATCAGTAAAAATTGTAATCAAGCATTTCAAATACAGGCTGTGAACTTTTTTAAGTAACTTTTCTGCCAGTAATTTTGATAGAATATTTGCAAAAATGTATACCACAAAAACCGCAAACCTTCCGATCTATGAACAAAAAACCTCATATTCTAGTCGGGCAGCGAATACGCTGCTGGCCTAGCACAAATCGGTATAAATTACCTAGGGCTTCAAAAATTTATGCACGCACTTTGTAAACTTAAAAACGTTTTGTGTGCTGTTTTTCAATGCGCCGCCAACCGCTGCCCCCTTCCACCCAGCCACCCATTCCCTCTCCGCTGTCAGCCACGAGTAATGTCGCCTCTGGGCGCACAAATTGTGCGTATTCCCCAAGTTTGTTTACATTTTGGATGGTTTGTTGTAATTGCTCAGCGTAATTTATGCGAGCGGCGGGCCAAAGTCAATGTCGTGCCAGCTTACAACAACAACAAAGAATAAAAACAAAAATGAAAATGAGCAGCAACAAAAGCGAAACGAGCAAGAAAAAACCAACGAAACCAAGTGCAAACACACTGGCGACAGACACGGAAAACCGTTTATCTGAGCAAATGTATCTCAAGGCAGTAATTACAATTTATTGTTGGTAATTATGTAATTTCGTGTGGGGCGACAGCCAGAGATACGAGATAGTTGGCCAGCGCGGTAGTCTGCCCAAGACCAAGATACAAGCCGGCGCTGTGACAAACCAAGTGTGTGTACCAACCAATTGCTCCATAAGCTGAGTGCGTGTCTAGGTCAGTGTTGGTGTCCACTTGCTGGCAAACATGCAGCTAACCCTAACCCTCTGCCATTTTCATGCGTGCGCATTCAAATGAGTCTGTAGCTGTAGCTGAAAAAGAAGTGCATTGGAAAAGCCACTGTGCAAGCTGTTTGCCTGCCAACCAACAGTGGAGGAGTCGAGATCAGCCAGCTGCTGCCACATTTCTTGACGGCTTGTTAGCTTTTGGCGGCTGAGGGTGGCTGAGGGGAAGTGGGAGGGGGAGTGGGAAGAGCCCAGCACGTTGCATGCTGCATGCAAGCAGCTATATGATTGCCATCCATGTGTTCGAGTGGCCACAGTTTGCCGCCTGATCTTCCACTCTGACCAGTTGAGCTGTGGCCGGCTAGCCAGCTAGTTAGGTTTTTCTCTTTGGCCTTTTTTTTTTGTTTTTTTGCTGCATGCATCCGAAAGCTGTTTTGATTGCCTGCACTTTGTTTGTTTGTTAGTCAACGATGTCGTCATTTCCTGTTCACGCATTGTGGCTTACTTTCTTGTCAACTTCGTTGCGTAATACACGCATTTCCGGCGGCTAAGACGTAGCTTGAGAGACTTCTTTATTTTGAAGAACAGGCAGAACTGGAAAGGCTTTAGCAAGTAAATAACTTATCATCGAAGTCAATTTAGAAATACATGAAACTTGTTGGGCAAACAGCACGTCATCATTTCAAGCAATCTTTAACAGATCATTAATTTTAGCCGCAAACACGTTTAACTTAATTTAATTCCATACGTCTATCTAAATCACATTAGTTTTAATGGCAACAGCTGCCCAACACAGCAAAACCCAACACTCAAAGTATTTCCGTTAAAAAATTTAAAATTGAAATTTAATTTACGCAAAAAAATTAACAAAAAAAGGCGCACAGCTTCATCAACGGCATTAGTTTGCACATATTCAAATCAACTAAAGTTTTTTCACTATATTTCTTTTTTTCTGATTGAAGCGCAAAAAGAAAAATATCATTAAAATAAAAACAGCAAAGTGTTGGACCAGTACAGAAAGACAGGAAATAACTACGTTTGGCTAACTGAACAAACGTTGT